CTCTAGTCTTACACTAGCGCAGATAGCCCTCGTGTAGCTTTGCGCGAAATTAAAAAAACAAAACAAAACCAACTAGGTTTTAATAGTTAAGTCGTAGTTTAAGCATTCCTTATATCCGTCGCTTGGGTTTTTTAAAAACTGTATAGTAAAAAATGTTTCAACTAATATTTGTTAACTGTAACTCATCCGGCTTCATAAGCTCTGGCATTTAGCGAAAGGCCTCATCGGCAGCGGCCTACAATACAATGTGTGAACGTTGCTTATTCTCCTCACAGGAACTCCATTCGTGACCAAAGAGTGATTATGTACTCACATTTATAACAAATTAGAAACAAAAATACGGGTGTGGAATCTATGGTGTTTATTATGCAATGTTCATCGTATATACCAAGCAAGTTATTATTAGCTTCCTACACTACACACAAACTGGGTGTTCTTAATAGAATTTAAATGTTGATTACGAACTGATTTTATTCATTCAATTGAAATTGTTGGTATTACATGAAAACAATAGCACTCTTCATCTAATATTTAAACTATTTTAAGTAAGGTACCGCTTCGCTCAGTTTGATCACGCGGAACTATTTGATATAGGTCTCAAAAACGTAATTTAAAGAGTGAATGATAAAAAGAAAAGAAAAGTAAAACGCAAAATAAAATACAGGTTAGAGGAATGACAAGCTTCAGCTTTTTTGTATCTTGTAGCTACAGCTCGGTCAAACATCTGAGTCAATTAAATGCGTAAAGCAAACATGTTTTTTTTCCTAAATGAAACCAAGATCAAACATGGCGTTTGATAAAATAATAATATCTTATCAGCATCTTCTGTTTTTAAACTAAAACCATTATTTACACAAAAAACAACAACGACTAGAGATTATTAATGAGTTAAACCCTCAAACCTAGGACTCTGTAAGTCCTTACTGTACTTCCTATCCCATGCAATAAGTTATACCTCAGGACAAAAAACAACTACAGATAAAAAAAAAACACATACACAAAGAAAAGCCTCAAACTTAGAACTCTATAAACTTCACAGTAAACCCTACCTTATACAGTAAGTGCAGGCTCAGGAGTAGAAAACTAATACACTCTCTCTACCTCCCAGTCCTGCAGATGGCTGTATTTGAAATTGTATATTTATACAAAGAGTATTTAGAAATGATAAAAAGAATATAGCGAGTTTTTAGTTTAGTTTTGATTGATGAAATTGATTTTGCTGGAAATGAGAAGTACTATTTTATTCATGGAATCCTGTTCTCTACGATTCAAGTATGACAGTTAAACACAAGAAACAAGACTACCTGGAGTACAGTAACTGAGTGTTATAGTTAAATCTAAGATGTAAGGTTGTCTGGATTATGGTAACTCAATATGAGGATTAAACATAAGATGCAAGACTGTCTGAACTACAGTAACTGAGTATGACAGTTAAACATAAGATGCAAGACTGTCTGAATCACAGTAATTGAGTATGACAGTTAAACATAAGTCTGGGTTACAATAATTGAGTATGACAGTTAAACATAAGGTACAAGACTGTCTGAACTACAGTAATTGAGTATGACAGTTAAACATAAGTCTGGGTTACAATAATTGAGTATGACAGTTAAACATAAGTCTGGGTTACAACAATTGAGTACGACAGTTAAACATACGAAACAAGATTACAGTAACTACTCAGATGTTGAACATTTAAACAAGATAATCAAATTAAAAAACAGGTTTCTTCAACTAAGAAACGTATTGTAAGTTATGTAATGTTTGCCAAAATATCAAAAGTATTTAGTTACAAGAGTTATAACAATGTCAGATAGAATTAACAATTGGTAATTTTTGTTATATAATTTATTTTTTCAATTATTATTTTACCAATGATTATTCATTTGTTATTTCCTTGTATTTTTATTTAGTATCTTAAAGAAATAACACGTCGGGGGCTGTTACTGTAATTGCCTGAGGTTTTTGTACTGATGTTGTGATGGTTTATCATGATGTATTATATGAACCAAAGAGCAAACTATGTGACCTTGCTATTGCAAAGTCGAAGAAACGGTGTTATTTTATATTAACTTATTTTATATTTCAAGCCCAAACTGGAAGATAATGACCACCTTAGGTGTATTTTGGTGAAAATCAGGGCCGGCCTTAGTAGCCGAGTCGATTGTATACTTCTAGTATCCAAACTCGAGAACCTAATCCTGAGTACTCGCCTCAGGCCCCGCACCTTCTTAAGGCCGGCCCTGGTGAAAATAAGGCAGATTTTGATTAAAGGAACATAACTGGTGATTTATCTGAAACGACACAAAAGTTTATGATTTTAATAGCTGAATCATTTTGACAATATTCTGATTAAGTATGATGATACGACTGAGAATCTTTCAGTCCAGCAAACCAACATACATTGTACATAAGAAGCATGACTCACTTATTAAATAGCTGTCTAATAAGTACTAACACGTTACTATTTGTTTTTAATTTGATGCAAGCATTATTAGAAAATAATTATACAGTTAATCGAGCTAGACACAATTTAGCTTGTAAGATGTTTACAGTACATACAATACATTTATACATTTTTTAAATTAGTTATCTCTCAGACAAAGTTAAAGATTTGACTGTTAACACTAGGTCGGATGTAATATAGTTTCTTATTAAATTTGAGCTTTGAATTAGATAGTAAAATATTAACTTGTTGTTTTTTTTTCATTTCTTATTCACATTCGAACAAGGTAACGATGATGAGCCATTCTTTCATCATATACGTCATCCAAATGCTTGGAAGTTAACAAGCATACATCTTGTCTTCAGGATGTAAATAGACAAACCTTATAACTGGAACAACGGAGCATTAGGAAATTGACGAAGACGATAGATCCTAATATCCATTTCTACCATTTACTTCTAACCGCAAGCTGGTGCTTACCTCTCCACATTGAAACATTTCAGTTGTTCGACCAACCGAACGTTTGACACCTTTTTCCAACAATTACGGGATTGTACTGGTTTGACACCTTTTTTCCAACAATTACGGGAATGTACTGGTTTGACACCTTTTTCCAACAATTACGGGATTGTACTGGTTTACAGCGAGATATTTTGCTTGAACCTTTAGAATGACAACATGCTTTACATCCTTACGCGTAAGATATTCAAGTCCAGGATTTACAGTCTTGCTTCTGGGAAACAGAAATTTGGCGGTGCAACTGGAAGTATGGACTTTAACTTCAGGAGAAAAACGTTCTAAAGCTGCGAGTTCCGAGAATGTAAAACCCACCACACCAAAATGTAAATATTCTTCGGAGTCGTTAAAATACCACTGCTTGAATTTGCTGTAAAAGAAAACGAGCTAATTGGGGTTTTTACAAATTCTTATGTTTACATGAAAACACGTTTAAAAAAAAAGGTATAAAAGGTAAAAACAATATTTTGAGAAATATAGCAAAAACAACAAAGATTCTCACTGAAAGTTGTAACTTCAAAAAGACATTTTTTTCATCAACTCAGCTACAAAAGTGAGTGGAATGTTATTTACAAAATAGAAATGTTTAGCACAGGCCGATACACAGTTTCTTCTCCTTCCAATGGCGGAGTCCCATCGCAGTACGTTTGTTAGTGCGTAGTCCAGGTAGTGTTGAAATGGAAAATGTGTGTTTAAATACGACTTCAATTAGTTTAATTATTTTGACCTTAATAAAAAGAAATGTTATTAAATCTCTAATTTTTGAGAATTAAACTGTTAAACGAGTTTTATCTTTCGACTAGACCAATTATTGAGCAAACTTAGCGCTACAAAACTTTATATTTTATGTTCTACCAAAAGCCAGTTGTCCAGATAAAATATATAATATTTATGCTGTAACTTTGTTGATAAGTATGTTTCCTATTCGTTGATTTATTTTAGATGTTATTTATAGATAATTATAAATATAAATTTATACATATTTATAAATATAAATCTATACATATTTATAAATATAAATTTATATATATTTATACATATAAATTTATACATATTTATAAATATAAATTTATACATATTTATACATATAAATTTATATATATATTTATACATATAAATTTATATATATTTATACATATAAATTTATACATATTTATACATATACATTTATATATATATAGTTTGTATATATATATTTATGCAAACTTATATCTTTGTTTGTATATCAACTAGTGCTTTGATAGTAAAAAAAATTACTTATTTTACTACAGCCAATTTTTTATCCCATAGCCGCTTTACATAGTATATGAAAATTCAGGATAAACAAGAACTTTTATTATTAATTGAGGAACAAAAATTCCAAATACGAATGCAAATATTGTATGTGCTCATCATTAATCACCTGACGCGTTTCAAGGTGATCTAGTCTTTCACCGCGTCTAGTTTCAGCATATCAGATTAAATAAATTTGCAAGCGGTATTGGTTGTTTTTTTACTTTTGGGGGCCATGTGTGGTCTAATTGCTAGCGCTCCCTTGCCACGTCGAGTTCATTTTCATACTACTGGGAAAGAGGAAGCAACTATTATATTATTTGCATTTTATATTTGTTTTGTTTAGTATTCCCACAGTTATTTCCGATATGTTTAAAATACTTACAACTGTTATTTGCAATGTCAGGTAGTTGAGTTTGTTTTCTATCTTCAATACCCTCATTCATCTTAACTGATCCTTCAAGACTGTCCGCATTTCCTTTCAGCTCTGTAGGTACACAAATTAAGCAAGATATTTAATAGTTCTCTATGGAATTTTGAAATGACATGAACTTATTCTAACTAAGCGTTTATCTCTCTAACGTTCAAGTACATATAATATAAGAATAAGGTGTTCTCATAGTCAAAGCAGTAAACTAGTAAGGAAATGTATCCTTTCCGATATTAAACTTGCCTGCCACACCGAGAATAGTATAACACACACATTTTAACCAAGATTAACACTGTATCCTAAAACATATCAAATCATTTTACTCTGTGTGTGAAACGATACTTGGGAGAATTTAGTCCCGAACATGAAACATTGTGTACGTTTTTAACTTTCATATTTACCGTTGAAAATTAAAATCGAATTAGATATATTGTTTAAAAAAAAGAGGCTTTGATGGAAGATTGGTTTGAATTTCGTGCAAAGCTACACGAGGGCTATCTGCGCTAGCCGTTTCGAATTTAGCAGTGAAAGACTAAAGCGAAGGCAGCCAGTCATCACCACCCACCACCAACTCTTGTGCTACTCTTTTACCAACGAATAGTGGGATTGACCGTCACATTATAACGCCCCCACGGCTGAAAGAGCGAGCATGTTTGGTGGGACGGGGATTCGAACTCGCGACCCTCAGATTGCGAGTCAAGCGCCCCTAACCACCTAGCCATACCGGGCCGCGAAGATTGTAGATCACCAGAAACACTGTCTGTGTTGAAAACTTGCCCAAACAGATGGAAATGATGTTGTAAAGAAAGAGAAATGGTATATTTTAACTTACATTTTTTGACAGTGTATTTATTCAATGATTTTAATTTGAAAGTACGATTTAAAATACAAAGAAGTTAACCTCTGTCTGACGAAAACAAACGAGACTGGTCTGTCAAGGAGTTGGTTGTCGGTACGTTCGGAATCGTCTTGTTGGCCAAGCTGACTTTTTTCGGTCCGTGTAAATCTAAAAGAAGAAAAAATAACATTGTAGTCCCTGGAGCCAAAATATTGCACAGATATAATAAGTCCTTAGATAAAGTTGGTTGTTATGTTATAAATACTGTTAATATTTAGTGAAAGGACACTTTATACACAAACGTATCACAGAAATTGTCAAAAGTTTATCAGGAAATTTCTTATTCGTGAATATCCTTTGACATTGTCTATAAGGTAGAAAATCAAGGGAATTTCGTTTTTGTTAATAGTTGAGATGATATGGAAAATTGGTTTCTGTTTTCGTTTTTATACGTAAAATTTTAAATCCCGCTAGGATGAAGGAAATAACACTTTCTAACTTAAATTTTCACCTAAAAAAAAGTCGATCAGAGAAAAGAGACTGTGGGACCGAAACATGAACCCAGAATCTCAAACTAACAGAGACAATGCTCTGACACATAAAACATCTATGTCAGAAAGCTCGGGCTATTGGTCAGTTTGGTGATAGAGCACCCGCTCTGTTAGCCAGAGGCCCTAGGTAATTTTGACATTAAATAAAACATGTTATATTTTAAAAATAAAGTTATGTTTTTGAAAAGCGTCATACTCATATGTATTAAAGCTTTAAGTACATCATAATTCACACAACCAATAGTTTCAAATAATTCAAATCATAATTAAGTACAACATTACTAACACAGCCATAAGTTTTAAGTAATTTAAATCACAATTAACACAACTGTAAGTTGAGTACAACATCATTAACTCAACCAGAAGTTTTAAGTACTTTATTTCAGTTATAGCAAAGAAACAATAGATAAGCACATGAATAATAAAAACACTCTATAGATCATTACTTTGACTTTGCAGATTTTCTGCTCAAAATTAGATTATATCTGATATATAGAAAATATGTTAAAGCATCATAAAAACGTTTTTAACTTATGTAGTACTAACTGAAGTAACTATTACATGAAGTACAAATCCGAGAAAAGTGTGTTTCAGATCATTTTTTGACCAATCACGGTTTAACAGGTCTGAACACGATTCTACCATTTTCCTAAAAACGTCTTGCTAAATGCTCTTCTTATCAAGTAACTTTGACCAAAAATTAACAGGGGGAAGAAGAGGGTGTATATAAAGCGCCGGTTCATGTTTTATGTTTTATGTTCTAGAAGTTTATTTATTGTATATAATCGCTGTTGTCTACGCTTTTTAATTTCGAAAAAATAATCAATTCTAATCTAATGATAGTTGGAACGGGCTTGTTGATCCTTAGTGTTGAATTTCTGCTTATGAACATACTATGCACGTATAAGTTATTTAATGGCACCTTTCTAGGAACTCGACAATAAGGTAATGTTCAATAACACACTACGCTCGTATAGTGAGTCCGTTAGACTATTTTAAGAATGTTCTGCTGTAGTTAAACTAGTGAAAGTTTAGTTGGTCAGTTAAACTTGTATGAAAAGCCGACAAGAGAAAAGAGACTTCTGGATCAGGACTTGAATCCACGACTACTGGTTATCAAGGACAGTGCACTGCCAATGAGGTGTCCAAGAGTACAAGCCGTCCCCATTACTATTCAAATATCAGGCTTCTTACTGTAAGATCATATTGTACAATTTATTGATAACTATTGTTCATGCAGATATTAAGGATGTTGTTTTATTAGTGCAAATTAAGCTACACAAATGGCTATCTACACTTTGTTCACCGCGGGGAACCGAACCCCGGATTTTAGCGTTGTAAGTCCGAAAACGTATCGCTGGGTGGTTAGGGCGCTTGATTCGTAACCTGCGTGTTGAGGGGTTCGAATCCCCGTCACCGAATATACTCGCCTTTTCAGCCATGGGGGCGTTATAATGTAACGGTCAATCCCACTATTCGTTGGTAAAGAGAGAAGCGCAAGAGTTGGCGGTGGGTGGTGTTGACCAGCTGTATTCTCTCTAGTCTATCACTGCTAAATTAGGGACGGCTAGCGCAGATAGCCCTCGAGGAGCTTTGCGCGAAATTCATAACAAAACATACCATATCGCTGACACAATAGGTGACTGTTGAATTTAATGATAAATATTGTAGATGCGGAAGTTCGATTTTCCATTGTTTATTAGCTAGAATTATGAAAACAAGGTTTATTATTTCTGTTAAAAAACTTACTTGAATGGTGAGAATGTTGTGAAAACTTCTACTTCAGATCACTCTTATGGAAGTTACTAGAAAATTCTGAGCACATTGCTTAATTTAAATCAATAAGAACTATTGTCCTAATCCACGTGCCTACTTTTATCGGCTAAACTAAAACACGTGGTGTTTTTCTCAGAAGTATGCTTTGTGATAATAATGAATTATGTATACAGTTTCTTTGACAGATACAGAGCATGGATAACTATACATATGTTTAAAATATTTTAATAACCGTATGCATTTTTTTTGCACGTTATCAAGCGAAATAACATCAATCGAAGCTTCTAAAAAAATATCAAATACTGCATAAATTTAGGTTTAGATATACCTTTAAACTTTATTATTGTTATTTTCATATAAACAGTGTTATACATCATAAGTTTATAATAATATTTTTCTGAAGAAAATATTGGAAAAACACTCTGATATTCATAATTCTGTTGTTTTGTACAGGGTTGTAGCGGTGAGAAAAACAACTTTGAAAATATCGTTGACATAAAAGGATAAACATTTAATTAGAAAGTGCATACACCATACTCGTCCAGAACAGCACCCTTATGTTAAGGTCAGAATGGGTACCTGGACAGTCTGTAGGGCGGATCGTGAGAAATAGTTTGCGTGTGTGTAGAATATATCATCAAAATTGCATTCTACTGTTTTCATGAAATGACGTTTGGGGCGCCACTATAGTACTTGTTCATTATTTTTTATTTCTGCCTCCATTTTGATATTCTTATTTGTAACGGTATGGCTGAGGACAATGTGTCTTGATGATAGGAATGTTACTAGTCAAAGCGGTGAACCATGACGACGGGCTGTTTGGAGAAAAATGGAAATCACACTAAACTAAAATATAATAATACACTCTCTGATTCAACAAAACAATAATCTACAACAAACTACAATCTCTCCTATTTTCCAAATCAGTTCTCAAATCTTTAACATTCTGAAAAGTGTAGAAGATCTTACCTTTTGTACTGGGCTAATTAGAAGGATACAATGGTTCTTACCTGTTTGGACTGAACTAAGTACAAAAAATACAGACGCTCTTACCTTCTGGACTGAGCTATGTAAAATGAAACACTAAATCTTACCTTGTGGACTGACGTATCTAGGATGATACAGTAGATCTTAACTTCTGGACTGAGCTATATATGCTGATACAATAGATCTCACCTTCTGGACTGAGCTATGTAGGATGATAAAGTAGTTCTTACCTTCTGTTCTGAGCTATTTAGGATGATAAAGTAGTTCTTACCTTCTGATTTGAGGTATGTAGGATGATAAAGTAGTTCTTACCTTCTGTTCTGAGCTATTTAGGATGATAAGGGAGTTCTTACCTTCTGCACTGAGGTATGTAGGATGATAAGGTAATTCTCACCTTCTGATTTGAGTTATGTAAGATGATAAAGTAGCCATTTAGGATAATAAGGTAGTTTTTACCTTCTGCACTGAGCTATTTAGGGTGATAAAGTAATTCTTACCTTCTGATTTGAGGTATGTAGGATGATAAAGTAGTTCTTACCTTCTGTTCTGAGCTATTTAGGATGATAAGGTAGTTCTTACCTTCTGCACTGAGGTATGTAGAATGATAAGGTAATTCTTACCTTCTGATCTGAATTATGTAAGATGATAAAGTAGCTATTTAGGATGATAAGGTAGTTTTTCCTTCTGCTCTGAGCTATTTAGGATGATAAAGTAGTTCTTACCTTCTGGTCTGAGCTATGTAGGATGATAAAGTAGTTCTTACCCTCTGGTCTGAGCTATGTAGGATGATAAAGTAGTTCTTACCTTCTGGTCTGAGCTATGTAGGATGATAAAGTAGTTCTTACCTTCTGGTCTGAGCTATGTAGGATGATAAAGTAGTTCTTACCTTCTGATCTGAGCTATGTAAGATGACACAGAAGATTTTACCTTCTGGACTGAGCTATGTAAGATGACACAGAAGATCATACCTTCTGCACTGAGCTGATGAGAATTATACCCATCTGCGTCTTCCCTCGTGTTCTGTACAGGTGCCAAAGCTGCGGAAATAGATGCAATTGGAACTAACCTTATACCCATATACATATATATATATAAGTTTAGAAAACTTCCTTCTTTTAAGCCCATTTAATGATGACATATAGGTTGAAACAACTTAGTGTTTGCTTTTGACCTTTGAGTTTATATATATATATATATTAACCCTCATTGTAAAGCACAAATAATCACAGAAAGCTTGCACTGATTAGGTATAAATTTGGAGCAACTGTGGTAGAACAAGAATCTATGAGATTCAGAAGGGATAGATACAGAGGATTAAGTACGTTATACTAAAACGAGTTTGAAGCCTCACCACGTCTTTACAGTCTGTGTCGCAATTTTCGGTAATTGTCTAACTGACAACCGTTCATCTTGAAAATAGCCCTACGGCCTAGTTTCTATTGCAAAAGGTAAGGCTGTCATCATGTTTACTTACACTTACCATCCAATTTGCTTTTCATAATGCATTTAATGTACGAAGAAAACAGTTTCTCAGCACCCGTTTCAACAATCCGATCGCACAGAAATCCATGGACGCTGTGTTCGATTACTTTACCGGTATGGAACAGCACGAATACCCTCAAACTGCTTAAAGTATGCAGCAGTTCAACAGGAGGTATGACTGGAAGCCTTATCTTGGTGAACCAATTCCTGTTGGCCTCATTTCCAACACAGAGATCCTTCTTGATTATACTGAGATATTTTGACTGGGACACTTGAGTTTCTTTCTGGATGGATCTTGTACCTCAAATTTATCCGCATTTCTTTGTTGTCTAGCGCCATTAAATAAAAGAGATTCTAAATCTCCAATTCGAATACATGTTTATAATTTGAGCGTATGAAGGTTTTGTGCCGGAAAGAGCTCTGTTTCAACATACTGTTGCAAAAAGATCAATTTTTTTCTGGCATCACACCACCTACGAAACGCCAAGCAATTTTATGTTTTGTAGTTCTGGTACATTCCATTCACCAGGACATTATATAATCTGTGTTTGTCACGTATTAAAACCCTCTTTAACATAACGTACACAACCCCGTAAAAGGCCATTTGGAAGTTCATTGAAAAGTTGTCATACTCGTTCTCTATCTTAAAGGAATTAGTTATAATTACTATAATGTAGACATTTTGCTTTTCATTTTCATATACGCAAGAACAGAAGTGTCTGAAAGTTTCTAAATAACCGTATCCAATTTTCTTAGCTAATGAAACCTAATTTATTACTAGAAATAGTGAAAGTTCTCCAGCCTATGGAATCAGTTATTTCATAATTACAGTAATCTAGTGGTAAAGACAGACAAATCCTTTACATTCTTTACAAACAATGCTTTTAAAACAAAAATTGTCGCTTAGGAACAATATTTTAAATAGTTACATACCTTTTCAATATAAGTGGGGTACAGTTAGCTGTATGTTTCTTCGAATGGAGTTATCATAAGAGATAAACCAATAGGAATTTCAGATTAAAACATTAATATATATATATATTCTATTGTTATAAAGCCCGAGTTTCTTACTAATTACTGTATAAACTTGAATTTTATGAGTGGTGTCCTATGAAACGTTTTCAAAATGCTTCAGCTGTAAGTGATCCAAACCGACACTACCATCCTACACATTTACAAACCATTGTTGTTACTGTAGTTTTAGAAATCAACTGTAGATGGTGCTCTTTACAATAGAGGCGCTGATCCCATTCACAAGAAAGAAAGCATGTCTCTAAGCAGTAATGTTTTTATTTTATTTTTAGCTGATGATGTTTAATGAAGTTTGTAAAATGAATCATAAGTTGAATTTTCGGAACCAACTGTTAATTTTATCAAAAGAGACCTTTTGTCTTGCTCATTGTCACCGATAGTCGATATCCACATCAATAACTTTCAACTGATTAAGCCAAGCTGGCAGTATTTGACATACCTTGATTCTACAAGAAATACCATAGAGCTGGTAGAAACTATTTAATTAAATCTCCAATGAAAGTTCTAACAATGGAGGCTAAGTGATAACCTTCTGTGTAATAAGTAGCCAATATTGTTAGCTATATATTCTATCAAAGTATATACTGCAAAGATTCAGAGAAGACGATTGTATTTGTTAGCAAAAAAATATTACCAGTAGCCTTCGTTGGTGTTACATTGGCCTGTTTATGGTAAGACAAAATGTTATGTTATTTTGGCAGTTGTGTATAAAGTTAAAATCATAAATAATATTCAACGTTAAACTGGTACACAATTAAAATCATTTTATTTAGGCCTATCTATAGCCTTCAAAAAGTTGACGACTCTACATGTTTCGACGTTACAACGTCATCCTCAGGAGTGAATTACAAGACAATTCCAAAGTATTTATAACTTGTTAGTAGGTCATTGACCATGTATATTATTTATCATACATTCATGCTAAACCATTCAAAGGAGATCAATCCACATTCTTGCAGAAATATTCGCTAAACCTTCATCTGTTTAATACTACATGATCTTTTTTTTGTGTTTTATTATTTCTAATGATTCACAAATATTATTACCTATTACACTTTTCGGTTGAGCTAATATTACAGTTTTTCCCATAATATTGTGTGTTGTGTTTCCTCTACATGTTCTGCTGTGGATGAATTTTCAGTTTTTTTATTTTTTACGTATCCCTTATGCTCATTTAAACGGTATTTTAAATTACGGTTTGTCTAACCAATGTAAATACTACCACATTCACATTCTATTTGATATATTCCAATTTTTTCAGTTAAATCTATTTTGTCTTTCATAGTACCTAAGATTTGATTCATCTTATTTATTTGTTTAAATATAGGGTAGAATATCTGTTGTTTTTTGAACACTTTAAATAAACTAGTAGTTAAACCTGGAACATATGGTAAAATTAAGCCTTCCTTTCTAATTTTTTCATAACTAGGTTTTAAAGTACTAACTTGATCAATTATTATAGTATTAGTGAATTTCTTAAATGCTCTATCTATAAGATCTGGGTTAAAACCTCATTTGACTGCTATATATTTAATTAATAACAATTTGTTTTTTAAATCATTTTGGTTAGTACATATTTTCAAAGCTCTGTTAACATAACTATAAAACGCAGACTTTTTTTGTGACTTAGTATGACATGATTCTTCGTGTGGGGGCATAAAAACAGAAAAAGGTTTTCGGTAAACTAATGTTTCTAAATTACCTTGTACATTCCTTTTCACCAATACATCTAGATAAGGCAAATATTATTTTT